CAGTCTCATCGCAGGTGGCATGAGCAGCCGGTGATAGACGCTTCTTCATTCCATCGTCATCGGCATGCCCACTGACGCCGAACCCAAAACTTCGAGTGAGTCCCACAGAACCCGTCCGGGGTTGTTGGCAACGTGTGGTATTGTCATCCCCACATTGTGAGTCTCCAAGTGAAGGCTCATGTTTATTGCGTTTATGTTGACTTTTGGATGCAGCTTTGTACGTGACAGGCACAACTCTCCAGAGGACTCAAACCGACCAGTTATGACTGTAGCTGACTCACCAAAGAAGAGAAAGAGGGCCCTCAGCCCGCAACCTACTAGAAAGATACCACTACATTCAGGAGAACCAAAGACCATCGAGATGTCTTCCCCAAACGCTGAGGACCTGACCGAGTTTCAGAAAAGAGCCGAGATCCAGTTCAAAGCCGTTCTGGAAGGTATTGATCAAGTAGCCACTGCTCACGAGACAAAGAGGCAGAACCTCGTGAAAGCAGAGGATGAGAGTGCTTGGGATCGACCAGCGAGACCCAAGGATAAATCCAGATCCAAAGACGATAAGGTAGAGGAAAGGGCTGCTGCCATCATCCGAGCGATTCGGGAGTATGAGCGGGTTGTTACTTTCGGTAATCGACCATCAGAGGCGCTGCCTTTAGAAAACGATCGCGACATGGGCGGTCAATATCTTACCAACAAGGACCGCATAGACAACGAAAGCAAGCTATACCAAATCGCCAGGATCGTCCCAAAGGGCGCTCTGTTACATCTTCACTTCAATGCCGAACTGCATCCTGAGATACTTCTTGTACGAGCGCGCAAGATGAAGAACATGTACATCCGCAGTATCATACCAATTACAAAGAAAGAGCATCTGGGGGAGACTGAGATGATTTTCAATATCTGCGACCCAACAACCGTCGATCCTGGTGTCAACATCTTCTCGGACTCTTATCCCAAACTAATGGACCAGGAAAACCCCAAGGCTGAAAGCTATCTGAAGACTACCTGGATGCCATGGGAAGACTTCCAGAAGGAGTTTGAAAGAACGTTCCCAGGTGAATACGAAGATGAAGAACCTGAGACCTTCCAAGCTGGACAGCCACAACACTGTGGACAGACAAAGCCTACCAAGCTTCGTCCCGCTGAGAACTGGTTAAGATCGAAGATGGTTCTTAGCCTCGACGAGGCCTATGGGCCCACACAGACTGTGAATGGGTATGTGTTACCCCTACATCATTGCGGTACTCGCTAACGTATACACAGAGTATGGGCTCGATTCAACCAAGCTACCAGAGCTTTCAAAGGCTTACTAAACTATGAGAGCGTCTACAAAGAATACATAGGCGATGCTATTGACCGCATGATCGAGGAGAACGTCATGTACGCTGAACTACGACCAATGCTTTTGGACAAGTTCATTCCTGCCGACAGCGGCATACACGAGAAGCGTATCAAGAATCATGAACAGATGCGACTCATTGTAGATGGAATGAAGGAAAAGAGGAAGAGGCTCATCGAGCAGCACGGCAACGATGACAAGTTCCCATTTGGACTCAAGATCATCTATTGCACACCACGGTCTATTCCCATACCGCTTATGCAAAAGGAGATGAGAGATTGCATAGCGCTCAAGATGGAATTCCCGGATCTTATCTGTGGTAAGCAGCACCTGGCATTCAAAGCGCAACCGTTTCTAACACCCCCAGGTTTTGATCTCGTGGGCGCAGAGGATCGGCCCAACCACATTGGATTTTATAGGAAAGAGCTCGTTACGTTCCAGGAAACATGCAAGAAACTGAAATTGGACATACCTTTCATGTTCCACGCCGGTGAGACACTACTCGACACCGGCGGCTCCTCCGATCCGGAGAACTCCAACCTTTACGATGCAGTGGCGTTGGAATCGAAGCGCATCGGCCACGGATACGCGCTCATGAAGCATCCTCATCTCGTTGAGAAGTTCAAGAAGACGAAGACCAGCAAAGGTATCTGCATTGAGCTTTGCCCTATCTCGAATGAGCTTCTGCACCTTTGCAGAAACGTCAAAGAGCACCCCTACCCAGAACTGCTGGCGGCGGGCATACCTTGTACAGTCAACTCAGACAATCCATCACTCTTCAGGTAAGCAATATTGCTAATACTATTCTTTGGCCTCGTGAACGAATTCGATACTGACAGCGCACAGCAACTCGATGTCCCACGAATTCTACCAAATCATGGTCGGTGATCCCACCATGTCGCTTTGGAGCTGGAAGCAGCTGGCAAAGTGGAGTATCGAATACAGCTGCCTAGAGAACAAAGAGCAGGAACGAGGGTCAGGAATCTTAAGCAAGGATTGGAAGGAGTTCTGCCAGACCGTGGTTCGAGAATATGGTCCTCTCATGGAAGATGAAGCTTCAGTCAACATCAATCCCTATAGGGCAGAGGCATCATATTCGGTGCGCGACGATAAGACTCATCCCATTATCGAGAAGGCCATATCGGACAAGAAGATGGCAGAGAAGAAGTCTCCAGGGCAGGAGCATCCAGACGTGGTCAAAATAGAGAGGGAGAAGGCAAGACTGTGGATGGAGTCTTTGGCTAGCAGCGACGTCCTCAAGCGGAAACCTTGATATGGCGATACACGAACCGTCAAGGGGCGATGTTCTCGAACCTAGCTCGACAGGAGAAGAGAGTAGAAATTCCACCATGAGGCTGGCTGACTGGCTCGCGTCCGCTTTCGGAATACAACTGCAACATGCAACGCAACCATTATATGATGACTTGTTGGACTAGATTACGACCGTCACGTAGATTCCCAAGGCTATAGCCGACCCAATACAATATTTCCGACTCTTTAGTTCCTTTACTAAGCCGCGTCCCCGACAGCACCTAGAACCCTCTTATCACTGCCCGTGACTGTCTGTCCTTTTGCCTGTGCGAAGTTCGCGCTCCGCTCGTGCGCCGGGTTGGGGCTGTAAAACTCATCGACAATGGGATGAATCATGACCGTCTGTTTCGATATAGTAAGCGTACTATTCGTAGGAACTGTGACCCAGTTATCTGTTATCGTTAGTACATCGATACACCAGGAACATTACGAAGAACTCAGATATAAACGAAGGCAAGAGTAACATACCCCTCTCAAACGTCAACGGCTCACTAGCCACCAGTACAATGTCGCTCCCCTTGTCCCTACGTTCCATAACGTAGTCCCTCTCCCTCTCCTCGTCATCCACAGAAACTCCGGCGTCAGAGTCTTGAGACTGAGCGTTGAGTTCGCGCCAACTCGTTCCGCTGCTGAAGAAGAGGCTCGCTGCCTCATCAGTCTTACTACTCACGTACCGCGAGCACACAACGCTAACACCATCCGTCACAGCGAAGTTGAGCAGACTCCTGCTATCTTCCTCGCCAACACCTTGTTCGCCTACGACGTCTTTGATGAAGCCGTTGAGCCGCTCAATCGTCTTCAGTATCGCTTTGCGCAACACTGTGTGCCCGAACCCTACACCTGGCTCAACGTCTTTATCAGGTGAGATGCCAGCTTTATCGAGACAATCAAGGAACGTAGCGAACGCCCACTCGCTATCCGTACTCCCACCTACGACGTTGAACCATTTCTCGTCCAGACTCATAGCCAGTCTACGCTTGATCTGTTTCCAGCAGCCAATACCGCCGTTGTGCATGAACATGAGGCTCTTGTAGCTGAAGGGGTGGCAGTTGCTGTCGCTGAGGTTACCTTCGGTTGTAGCGCGGACGTGGGCGAAGATGAGGCTCGATGTGGTTTTGGACGCGATGCGCGAGAGGTTTATGCAGTTCCATGCTGGGATCGTGGAGGTGAAGACGCAGGGCGTGGGACCGAGGGACGGGCAGGTGTAGTAGCCGATGCCGAAACCGTCACCGTTGTGTGGGCGCCGTCTGTCCTGGTGGTAGTTAGTGGAGAGGGTGATGCGGATGGTGGACGGTGACGTACTAGGCGGAGGCGCGAGTCGAAGGATTGTGTGAGGATAGAGTGGGAAGGGTTTAGAATGAGCTCGGAGAGGAGGATCTCATCCTTGCCTTTGTAGACCTGTCGGTGTTAGCTGTGCACTGCGCGGGTCTATGGCGCTCTGCTTACCATGAACCTGCACATGCTGGGTGTCTGTTACTGCGTAATCAAGCCTCAGCGTCGCATATCACGTAGGAGCAGCGATCCTGGTGCCGAATGTGTGGAATGGCAGTTGTGTCAAGATGGTGGTGCGCTGGCTGCGAATTCGGGGCGGCGGTGTGTTCGCGATGATTGCGCCATCGGTTCAGGACATTGCTTGAGATATCATTGGGTTCCGCGCAGATCGCAGAGACGTCGCGTATGCGCGCACGCGATATCACGGATTTCATGCTGAGACACGCGACATGCTATCACGAAGCGAGACAGCAAAGATAGCTAACCCCACGCGTGGTTCGCGGAGGCATGCCGGGGCGGGGTGATCAGGGTTCCGCGGATGACGCACGTGTTACTTTCCCAGCTAGCGGCAATGTTAGTTCGATAATCACATGCAACTTCATTCATGTCGACCAGGCTATGTTGTAAGCCGATTACTCGGCAATTTATTCAGCTATCTGGCTGGCGCGGCTGGACTGCGAGCGCATGTTGCCCTTGCACCCAATTGTGTAGAGCGCCATTCCAGAGCAGACCGCCCAGTCCAACCATTCCGATCTTCAGACAAGCTAGACAAACACGCAACGCCGGGGATATGATGCGGTTATTGAACATGGGTGGGGTACAAGACGGTGTATCTTTAAGGCTTCATTGAAATCATGGCGAAGTGATAGCTGGAAAGGATGGGGGTATTGCTAAGGAAACACAAAGGTCCTCGCAATCATAGCACTTCCGTGGATCATGTATCATATCGTGTATGATCTCCGTGTTCGTCCAGGATACTGCAAACACTACTAGTCGTGCTCTCGTGGCTGGCTAGCGTGGTGGAAGGGCTGCACTGAAATGCAACGTTTCAACTTCGAACTCGTCGCGGACCTGGACCCGCTTACATGTCCATGGAGTCACCTCCGTTGGCAAAGTTGAAGTTCTGTTGTTGCTGCTGACCAGCGGCGCCGAAGCCGAATTGACCGTCCTGGTTGACCTGGGGTCCGGCCTCGCCCATGTTCTCCGCCTCACCCTCCTCGTCGGCGAAGTACTTCTCGATGATGTTGTAGGCCTTCATGTAGATCTCCTCGTTGGCGTTGTTCTGGCACTCGTGGATCTTCTCCATGCCGCCGACCTCTTCGATGAAGAGAGCGTAGCGGTTGATGGGCTCGCCACCAGCACCACCCTCGCTGGCCTCCTTGTCCATCTCGCCGACCTTCAGGATGTTCTCAAGACCGTCGAGGGCAACCTGGATGATCTTGTTGTCGGGGCAGGCGAGGAGATCGCAGAGGGGCTTGATGCAGCCGCTCTGGACGAGGTAGCGGATCTGAGCAGGCTTCTGCAGACCACCGCTGGTGGCGTTGGAGATGGCCCAGCAGGCCTCCTTGCGCGTCTTGAAGTCGCCGTTCTGGAGGAGGTGGATCAGAGGGGGGATGATGTTAGCATCGATGACGGCCTGGATCTGGGTCGAGTTGCCGGCGGTGATGTTGGAGATGGTCCAGCACGCCTCCTTGCGGATTCCGTCCTTGGTGGAACTGAGGAGGGACAGCAGCGCGGGGAGCGAGCCGCAGTTGATGATGACCTGGGTCTGGACGTCGTCGCCAGTCACGATGTTGCCGACGGAGCGCAGGGCGGGGGTCTGGACGGAGGTCGAGGCGTGCATGAGCAGCTCCACGAGGCGGCGGGGGATGCCGGCCTCGATGACGGCCTGGATCTTGTCGTTGGAGCCATCGGAGAGGTACGAGATGGCCCAGCAGGCGTCGATGAGGACCTCGTCGTCGAGCGAGTATACGAGCTTGGCGAGCACAGGCAGGGCAGGCTGGATCTGCTGGACAATTAGTACTTCTAGTTAAGTGGGGCAGCGAGCAGAACTCACAGTTTGCCAGTCGGGCTGAGGGGTCTTGCCGCGGCAGAAGTTGCTCAGGGTCCAGGTGGCATTGCGCAGCATGCTGAGCTTGCGGCTGTCGCCCAGCAGGGCCAGCAGCGGGCGGAGGGCACCGGCCTGCAGGACAAAGTCGCGGCATGCGGGGCTGTCACCGGCGATGTTACCCAGGGCCCAGACGGCCTGCTCGCGCACGTCGGGCTCGTGGCTGCTGAGCAGCTCGACGAAGATGGGCACGGCGCCCGCCTCGATGACGACCTGTGTTTGTTGCGCCGAGCCCGACGCGATGTTGGTGAGGGCCCAGGCGGCCTCGAACTGCACCAGCGTGTGCGGGGAGCGCAGGAACTCGACGAAGCGGCTCACGACGCCAGTCTCGATAACGCGCTCGATCGGGGGGTTGCGCTCCTTGGACAGCAGCTTGCGGAACTTGGTCGTCGCCTGGATCTGCTCGTCGATCTGTTCCGAGAAGACGCCCTTTACCATCTGGGGGAGCTCCTCGTTGAGCTACATCGCGTTATGTCAGCCTGCTATCCTCTCACTCTCTGTGCTCGCTGGGGCACGGGATGGTGGGGTATACACGCACCTGGCTCTCGATGTTGCCGCCCTCATCGTCGCTGTCGGGGGCAGCGCCGAGCGAGGCGCCCGGCTGGTCCCGTCCAGCGATACCGCGGCGCTTTGCGAGGTTCTCCTCACGCTTCGCCCGGCGGATCTCGACCTGTTGCTCTTCACGGCGGCGGCGGAGTTCGTCTGGCTTGAAGGCGCTCTTCGCCTTGAACGTCGTGCGACGGTGCTCGGGGATGTACTTGTCGGCCATTCTAGCGACTCTGGTGGGCGTGCAGTGTGGTGAGTCGGACAAGATTGGGGTGCGGCTGTTTGTTTGTAAAAGGGAGTAAACTTTCCTACCAGAGGGGTGATTTTGAAAGCGGAAGCGGCGAAGCGGGTATTGGCGCTAGTAGCTTGGCTCGAGCGCTCTACCCAAGCAACCACCACGACGCGTCGCGACTGTCGCAGTGATATGCCCCCGCCACCCTGCAGCTGTTTGTCACACCCGCACGCCCGTATTGCGAGACCAATACTACAGACAAAGACCTAGTCTCAGCCACTTCGTCTCTCCTGCAACTGCTTCTTATTTGACGGCCTTGCAATTCACGCTAACCGCTTTCGGCCATCTCCAGCTGCAATGCCGCTGCAGCTGCCCAACGGCTTCACGGCTATCAAAGATGCCACCGAGGCGGAGTCCACTGTAACTCTGATCGGCGTTCTGGTCAGTCTTGATCCTCCCAGAACAACGCGAGGCAATGACATGGCCCTGGACTTCACTATTCAAGATGACTTCACGTCTGGTGAGGTTGGAGGTGAATCAAGCATCAGCTGCCGATTGTTCAGACCAAGCGAAGACAAGTTTCCCAAGATCTCTGGAATCGGCGATGTCGTTGTACTCCGAAGGTGGAAGCTGCAGCAATACCAGCTCCGCATGGACGCCGTTGGTTCTAGGACCTCCCACATGGTCGTCTTCCCAAGCCACAGGATTCCCGTTCCGGGGCTGAGCGAGGCGTTTCAGGCCGGCAGTCAGAAGCTGCCTCACGAATCGACTAGGGGTCCTCCCCCGACGATTCCAGAGCAGATGGCAGTCATACACCTAAAGCATGCATCCACTGGCGCAGCACCACAAGTGAAGCAGCATGCAACCATTAGTGCTTCCAAAGCCAAGACAGCCAGGAAGAAGTCTTTAATCAAAGATCTGCAGCTCGATACCTTCTACGATGTTTGTGCACAGGTTGTCAAGTACTACTACTACGATTTAGGTGACCGAGTCGACTTGAAAGTGACCGACTATACTCCGAATGAACAAATGTTCTGCTACCCAGATCCAGACTTGGAAAAGGACTTACCGGTCGGAGATAGGCCCTGGAGTAGTCCATTTGGTCACATGGTCCTCAACATTACCGTCTACGGAGCAAATGCGGCTTGGATACAGGAAAACCTTGGACAAGGTGACTTCGTCTTTATAAGAAACATGCGAGCCAAGCTGGCTACAAATGGCAAGTTGGAGGGTGCTTTACATGAAGACAAAATGAACGATTCAAAAGTCGATATCATGCTCCTGAAGAAGGAGGGCGAGATCGAAGCAATTAACAAACGGCGAGAAGAGTACGAAAAGAACCGCGAGACCAAGACAGCTTTCCAGGCGTTGCAGAATGAACCGAAACAGCCTTCTGCCAAATCTGCAAGAGAGAAAAGAGAGGCCAAAAAAAGGAAGGAGCAAGCAGACAAGCTGGCCGAGGTGGAGGAGCTCGAGCGAGTAGCACGAGAATGGGAAAAAGGTCGTGGTGGCATTAACACAAACGGTAAGATCACCCCGGCCTCCCTCTCTTGTATACTAACTCCCTCAGTCACCGCCGCTTTCCCCACTATGAAACTATCCACAATCTCCGAGATAATCCACAACCCTCACCGGACAGTGACGACAACAGAAAAGTACAACACATTCGAACTTCCATTCATCAACTGCAGACATCGATCTCGCGTGCGCATAGTCGATGTTTATCCTCCTGAAGTCAAGCTCTTCGCGCATAGTACAAGAGACAGGAAGTGGAACAAGCATCCCAAGCGCCAGAGCTCGACTGGTGTCCATGCAAACGAGAAGTGGGAATGGGGATTCGTGCTCTTACTAGAAGATGCCAACGTCCCTCGCGATACAGTGTCCGAGAAACTGCGCGTGGTCGTCAACAATGAAGCTGCGCAATTTCTGCTAAAGATGAATGCTGTTGAGTGAGCAAGCCTGCTCCTTCACGATTCCTACCTTACTAATACTTTCGCAGTCTCACGAATCAGCCCAAGATCCTCAAGAAGCTCGAGGAGAAGCTCTTCATCTTGTGGGGTAACCTGATGGAGCTCAAGACTGAGCTGAGAGATCGAGGACATGATCTGCCACTACCGCCGGGAGACAACCGCTTACAAAACAAGCCCTTTGACGCTTGCATTGAAGAGTATGGCTGCGACGTACCCGTGACAAAAGACCAGCACCCGTTTGGCTATCAGCGCATGCACAAGCTCACGCACACGGCGATTGTGGAATAAGCCCTTTCTTTACGACACTTTGGTTGACCTGGATACCTTATATGCTTCTCACCTTATTTGATACCCTCTGTGTAATTGTACTCAGTTTCTCCGCTGGCAAGGCGCAAGGGATGCGCAAGGGCTGGATATCCACGTGGTGATTACAAAGGATGACCGAGACGGGAAACCTGGCAGGCGAGACATGTCCACTTTCCCAGGCCTTCCGCAACGTGCGACAATCTGCATGGAAAGATGGGAAGATGGACAGATTGACTGTCATAGATCTTGAACCTGGCCTTCATCTGCACTCTTTTCCGAATGTCGCTAGGATCACGGCTCACTGCAGATGCAGCCAGGGTATACATGGAATTGTACGTAACCGGCGAACGAACCAATCAGCTCCGTCTTTCTCCACGTGTTACAGCGTGCAGTCTCTCCTACCCTTCAAAAGACCGATTCTGTTGAGTGTGCTGATCTTTGAGCCTAGTATCGTATTCGTCAGATTGCGTGATCAGACGTGCTTGTAGCGAAAGGTCACCCATCAGTCACCGCGCCTTCGTAGCGCCGAGCTCGGCCTCCTACTACTGACTATTCGAATCCGCGACACAACTACATCACTCTTCGAGCCCGCTAATGAACGTCAATTAGTAGACCCAAGTCGTTACAATACTCACCAAGACTGATTCTGTGTAAGAGCTGGAAATAATACCGAGCGAGAATACTCGGTGTGACTTCTCGGTACCGGACATCTACATACAACAGATCTCCCAAATAGTGCCTACAAGTGCTATCTACACCATGGCTCTTGAGGTCACTTCGATGATGATACAAACTCCTGGCGCCAACATCGCTGTCACATCTCCCTTGTCACCACACGAAGTTTCCCTAAAGCTACCAGCAACACCGCCCGTTCTGGACTCCACACAACTTCATGGCCTCCTCGACCCAAGGTTGATATCCACCGACTTCGATAAACTGCGTTTCGAGGCCGCGGCACACGAACAACTCACCCTTCGCAACGAGCAATCCAACAAGAACGCCTTCCGAGCTTTACAGCCATCCTCCACTTTCCTGGTCTCCTCCCCATACAACACCCCAGGCCATTACCTCGACCTTTCCTCTTCGCATCTTACCACCTCGTCCAGGCTGCTCGCACTAGCTCTTACAGTTCTGAAACCAGCAACACCCACATACGCAACCGCGTCCTACACTCAGGCCCTGAACTTCGACTCTGTCCTGACCGCTCTGCGCGATCTGATCGAAAGGGAAAACTTCACCTGGAGAGAAACAAGTTTCTACGTGGTGGTCTTCCGCTCACAGCTCAAAGAAGGAATCGACGAGGAGTATCTGTATCGGCTAGACGAGGAATCTCATCGGGAGGCGTGTGAGAGCGGTGGGTTACTGAAGTACTGGTTTGGCAAGGCAGACGGGGAGAGGAGAAATCTTGCTACCTGTATGTTGTTTCCTTCTTTCCGCTACCCAGATTGAGACGAATTGGGATGAGCTGTGCTGACAATGGCAATAGGCTTCTGGCATAGCAGGGAAGATGCGTACAAAGGAGGTTTGGGACCGTGGCATAGGAAGGCGAGGGCTGCTGGACGCGAGTTGTATGAGAGTATCGTGTTTAGTACGTACAGATTCACGGTGACTAATGGGGTGGAGGGGTATACGTTTGAGGAGTGGGTCAAGTGAGGTGGGGTGCGAGGAATATGGGCAAGATTGTCAAAACGTTCAGAGATGCAACAAGGAGAGGAAGTGGCAGGGCTGAAGAAGACAACAAAGGCAGTATCAATAGCAAGGAGGGGATACATGATAGAGAAAGTGTAGGTGGGTGTAGCTGGAAGAAATCGTGCAGCGGTCGTGGAAAAGTACAGCATTCAATTGCCCAAAATGATCTATACCATGCCCTACTGTACAGCGCATCTTCCGCATGCAAAGTTCGAATTACATAGAATAGTTCCGACCCATCTCGTCGTTCGTGGAGGATAGTTGGCTTATGGTCGGATAATGCGGAGGCCGTCTTTCGGGGGTGATGCTGCGCGCTTGAAGGACTATTGCTCTGTCAGTATTCCGCCTTTTATGCCGATTCCAAGACTAGTTGTATCTTACGTTGTCGCACTCTTCCCAGGCCCTTCCGGCACCGAATCCGAGACCGGTGAATGCGGGCCATGCGCGGCGCTTGAAGAGGAGTACGGAGAAGACGACGCCGAATGACAGGCCGAGACCAGAGCGAATGAGCATTGAGGAGAGGCAGCGGTCCCACTGGGATTCTGTTAGCATTACTGTCCGGCAGCGTTCTAACATTGTTATCTCCGCGTATGGTGGAATAGAAGTTGGCAGTAGTCGCGTGAGGCGGGCCAAGACTGCCATTGTTCGACTACCCCGCTTCTGGCATAATTTGATGCCTCTTATAAGACGCAAGATATGTGTGCCATGCCTCTAAGGCCTCTTTCCCGGGGATTGTACCTTTTCGTTGAGGAGAGCTTCGCTCATGGGACGTGTGGTGCGCGAGATGGGAGCGACGGGCTGGGGGGTGTTGTCGGCCATGGCGGATGTGTGTTCGAGTGCAATTGGGGGGTTCAAGGGCGCACTCGGTGTGCTGGGGGTGATGGACAGCGGTTCGACGTGGTGTGGATGGGCGCTGGGCGGAGCTCGAAGCGGAACTTTGACGTCGCCGGCACTTGGCAGGCACGACTAGGATGGCTGGTCCGTGCCCAAACTTTTTCTGCATACCAGGCCTTTGCGATCGGCTCC